CTCATAAGGGAAGCAGTTTTTTTTTTTTTTTTTTTTTTTTTTTTTTTTTTGTTTTTGTTTTTGTTTTCACAAAATCTGATTCTTATGCCTTTAGAGATTTCCATGCCCCTGGGCAAAATAAACTTTGCATTCCCTTTTTCCCTGTACATGGAACTAGTGATAGCAACCAGTTTGAAGCTGTACAACCATATACATTGGGTTCCAGGGAGTCCAGAGCAGTTATCTAGAGGAATTTTTTCTTTTCTAGCAGTTAAGGCACTTCTACATCAATACTAACAATTATGTGTGTATTATCACTAATCAGATCTTGAAATTTTTACCCGGAGAGCTGACCAATCACTCAGAGCAAATTTACAGTCAGTGCACCTCCTCTGTGAACCAACCTGAAATTTATCCTCTTTCCGTTGCTCAGTGCCAATTATTTTTAAATCCTACCATAGTATCAAGTGCCTGGATGCAATCTTAGTCCTGTTTTTCTGCTTAGGGAGATGATACCCATTTATTTTTTTCGTTAAGGGTAAACAAACTTCAATTCTTTTACTTAGTTTTAAAAGTAATGTTTGTTAGTGTGGAGTCAATAAAAAGTGTCTACTTATATTAAGCATTTATTTATCTAGGTATTTATATGTACAGAAGATACACTTACTTGGCTTACAAGTCTGAAAATGGAGAAGACAAGAAGCAGGTCTTTGTCTTTGAAGCAATTCAGTGTGCCTGGGTTTTTCATGCTGGAAGTAGAATTTTCACAGTGGAATGCTCCTGATTTTTGATCATTCCCTCTGCAGCTTTTCAGTTTCTCCAAAAGAATCTGAACAAAGATTCTACTTAAACTTTAGTTGAAGAGCTTTTAATTTCTTCATTTCTACAATCTAGCTGCTCAAAGTGATATCCTCAGATTATCTACTTCAGACTACATGAAAATAAATGATTTTTGCCCTTTCTTGCAAGTAAGAGAAGCTTGTTTCACTTTGCATCTGACCTGTTTTATCTTGGTTTCAAATGTAAATAGCACTATCTACATGAATGGGGAGAAAAAAGATCAGAGAGGATGCCTTTTATGTTACTGAATTTTTAAGAGTATGCTGGGTATTTCAGAACTGTAGCTGAGTCTGAAACTCCTCATTGAGTCTAGAATAGTTTTTTGGTGAATCATTAAGAATTTCAGAAGCAATATCAAAGGAAAGATTATATGTTTGTTTTGTCTGTAGTTCTTTTGCTGCTGGGCTGTTTATTTATACTTTAGAGTGAATGGAGCAGACACAACTGAAGAAGGAGCTTTTTAACAAAGTAGAATTTCAAGAGAATATTAGAAAATTAAAATGCAGCCCTCATGCATAGGCCATATATCTTTAGTAGTTCACTTTTCTCTCCCTAAAGGTCATGGGTATTGAATTAATGGTATTGAAAGCTCTGCACTTTCTAAGAACACAGCTACCGTTTTTCATGCTACCTTCAGGAAATACTACTCTACAAACTTAAAGGAGCATACTTCAGGTTTATCTCCTTTCCAGATATCGCCTAAAGGTCATTCTGACAGAACTTGTGTTAGATTTGATGCAATCACATTGTGGCAGTGTTAGTACTGTGCTTGCTGTATGAAAACAAAGTAATGTAGTTGTTTAGGTGGGATGCTTAAATAGGGTGGGGGCAAAGTGAAAAGCTTTCCTTCTATAGCTGTGAGACTTCACTGTGAACAGTGTGTTGGAAAAGAATTTTAGGATTTGCAGCTGTGGAAGAGAGGAGGTTGGAATACAAGATGAGTGGCTTCAGGAATTCTCCTTAAGAACTCTATAACACTAGTGAATTGTTGTTGCAACTCTTGTATAAAAATCTTGAGAAGCCAGTTTAATTTGTGTAATATTTGACAGGATTATCTTTAAAAATAAAATCCGGTAGTGAGGCAGGCTCTGAGACCTCAAGCACAGTAACTGTGTCTGTTCTAAATGTCTTGAATTTTTATTTGTCTTACCAGCAAATAATAAAAGGGTCATTGGGCCTTAGTAGCATTTATTTCAAGACATGATTATGCTGAACAGGAAGAAAATGCCCTTACATCAGAAGGTATTGTTGAAGTGTTCCTTGTGGGGAGATCACTGTAGAGACTTCTCTGCCCACTTGCCAGTGTGGTGGTATATTTTTCATCTTCTGATATATTAAATACACATGTGAGAGAGCGATACTTGCATCCCAAGAGGAAAATCTAATTGAAAATAAAATGTCTTTTTTTTCTAAAATCTGAAATTAATTTTTTTGTATCAAAAGGCAAATCAGTGGTGCTGTTAATCCGTTTGAGAAAATGAAGGTGAATAATCCTCCCGTTTTAAATTTATTTCTGCACTTTTCTGTATTTCTGCTTCTTTCCTACTTCCCTGCAAGCAGCAATCAGGTTCCCCCAAAATCCCCTTTTTCCAGTCTTGAGCAAAAAATTCTAAACTTTTCCCTCTTACAGATACTATGAGCACGTATATCTGATGATTTTTAAAACCCACTACTATCTTTATTGTGTTGACCTCTGTCTTCAAGGACAGATTGTATTAAAACAACAGATCTTGGTATGTGTCCTCTGAGCATTAATGGAAATGTCCGTATTTGTTCTCTGTGTCTGTCATTCCATCTGAGGTGTTAGTCTCTCTTAACTGTTCTCCCTGCTTTTGTCTGTCCTCCTACACGGTATCTCCTCTCTCCTCACAGGACTATGAGAGTAAGCTGCAGGCCTTACAGAAGCAGGTAGAGACACGGTCCTTGGCAGCTGAAACAACAGAGGAGGAAGAAGAGGAAGAAGAAGGTGAGTTTGAAGTTACAAATAATTTGGTTATAGCCAAGCCTGAAGGAACAGTTGCTGTGTCTCTTGCAATAAATAGAAGACTTGCTCTGGAAAGCAAGTCATACTGTCTTGATCTGTAATCTTCACAGCATAAACATGTCAAATACCTATTCATAGAATAAGTTCCACATAAAGAGTGGACATACATTCCCAATTTCAGTTGATGTACAAACTAGATTAGTTTAACTACAAGCTTTGATTCGGTGGTCTTGAATTTGAAGGAAACTATCTCTTCTTGGCACTAACAAGAGTTCACATGTTTTAAACCAAAATAATACTGTTACCTTTGTTTCCTTGTTTTGGTTTTGAAGTTTCTTTTTTCTCCTTGGTAGGAATTAGTGGAATTCATGCTGTGATATGCCTGTATAAATCCGGACAGAGGACAGATCTTATTATTCCCATAATACTTGCTTTCTTTCCACTGTTTCAGCATTTGGCTTTAATAATTGTTAACTAATTTAATAGAAGTAGAATTTATTTTGTTTTCTCTGTTCCAGATCTCCTTACTTGATCATTATATCTCCGCTGCTAGTGGTGAGGAGATTTGAATCCAGTTTTTCCTCACAGAATAATAAAAATGCAGCTTTTTGTTTTCTGTTCTTCCAGAAAAGATGTTGAGAACTTGATGACACAGTCAGCACTAGTATTAGATGTTGCATGTGATGGTTTAGAGAAGAAGCCTCAGTGTTTTATTTCTCTGTTCCTTTGCTCTCCTAGTGCCCTGGACACGACATGAGTATGAACTCGCCCAGTGGGCTTTCAGGAAGTGGAAATTTCACCAGTTTACTTCACTGAGGGACCAACTCTGGGGAAATGCAGTATATCTGAAAGAAGCCAATGCAATCAGTGTAGAGTTAAAGAAAAAGGTAAGGACATGAAGCTTTTTGAAAAAGCTACTGCTTTTTGAATATTCCAACTCAGCAGTTTTGACTGTATTCCTGCTTCTTGCTTCAAATGCTCAGTTACTTGTCTTTAAGGTTATATATCTCTGAGTTAGTAGTTTGGGCTTTAAAAGCGTTCAGAAAATTGTGAGTCTCTGATTCAGACTTCTAGCTGAATGAACATCCTATGCAAATCTGGTTGATGGGTTTTCCTCTTCTTCATTTCCCTTATGCTGTTCCTGTCACTATCAGAAACAGATGTACTTCTCCCCAGGGCCCTTTTCCTTTTGCCTTTAACTTTATGTGGTCATTCATCTTTCCAAGAGAAGCGGGTGCGTCAAGGTGTTCTAGGTCTATAGTTTTTCCAGACCTCTGCTAGCTGTGACAATACAGGGAAGATAAGCTGAAAAATGTGTTTTGCCATTTTGAGACCAAAAAAAAAAGGTAAAAAAACCTGAATCTGTTCACAGAGATGAAAGTCTAGCTCGCTTCATATGTGTTGCCTTAGGTTGGGTCTCTTCCCCCTTTGTGATGCTGATATCTGGCTTCTTGGAATGACAGTAATTTTTCTTTTGCCCTTCAGGTGCAGTTTCAGTTTGTCCTGCTGACAGACACCCTCTACTCACCACTGGCACCAGAGCTTTTGCCCACAGAGTTAGAGAAGACCCGGGACAACAGACCTTTCCCCCGTACGGTGGTAGCTGTGGAAGTCCAGGATCTGAAGAACGGAGCAACACATTACTGGTCCTTAGAAAAACTCAAGTATGTAAATATTACTGGAGAACAAACTTTATTGTACCTAAGGACCTTCACTGAAAAATTTCACCCCTTGCTATTTGTTCTCTGTTGTACTTGGTTTTTCTCTGTGTCCTTCCAAACAGCAACTTTCCAGGCAGTGTGATGTGTTTAAATACCAGCTTTCGAGATTCTTTAAACAAGTGCGTTTCTTCTCTGGCATCCACATGTAATTTTTGTAACGAGTTTAGATTTTATTTTTTAAATCTATCAATGCTTGTTACAGCTCATCTCTCTGCATTAATTTTTTTCATGTCCTTTTTGCTGCAAAACTTTTCCTTGCCACCTGGTTTTATATGACCTAGCAATATAGGGCATATTTTGTAATAAAAAGCTTAAATAAAGACTGTTTCTGTGGAAGCTACACAAATTGTGACTGTAATCTGAACTGTTTTCATCGTTATGTTGCAGATAGGCAAGACATTTGTCTTTTCCCCATTCACTAAATACTGACTGATGAACTTTTTTTTTTTTTCCCACTGATAACTTTCAGATGAAGGAACTTGCAGGGTGAAACACTTCTTCAATAAAATATATAAAGTCTGTAATGGAGTCAGTTCACTTTTGAATCAAAATTACAACATTTCTGGAGTGGAATGCAAAAACTGCCTAAATTACGTGGCAACATTGTAGGAAGTAAAGGAAGTAAAAAATATGCCAGAATTAGATGTCAGAGAAGAATATTTAGAAGTTTGCATGAAATCCAAGATTTACGTAAGCTTCTGCAATGACCATGCCTTGTGCTTAGTGAGTTTAGCCTACAGAATTTTTCCCAGAATCCCAAACATGTCAGAATTAGTACAATACCGAACTTAGTGATACAGACTCCTCTGTTCTTTATTCTTTCTTTTCTATATATAATTCAGTATAGGTCAAGTCAGTGCACCCCCCTTTGTGTTCCCTGCTATTTTTATTCATATTCTATTCATTTTTTAATCCTGCTTTCTTCTACGCAGGCAGAGGTTGGACCTAATGCGTGAGATGTATGACAGAGCTGGGGAAATGGCATCTAACACACAGGATGAGAGTGAAAGCACAATGACAGGCAGTGACCCCTTTTACGATCGCTTTCATTGGTTCAAGCTTGTTGGAAGGTATGTGACGATAATCTCAACTGCTGGTACTCTGATAACTCTTGTCAGCTCTGAATGAACTCTGAATGGTTACAAACTGTACGGTCACTAGTGTTAGTTGTGTGCGTTGTCCTTCAGCATTTTCTGATAAACTTAAACTATAGTGAAGAGCAGAAAATGCTCTTTAGGATGTTGCCAGTTGTGGTGTAACCTTGTGGAATCCCATTTAACTGAACCCTTAGTAAGTTATAAGTTTATTTTTAAAAAAAATATAGCTAGCCGTGTTCTGTCTAAAGTCAGTGGGGCAGAGCTGTGAGAATATGAAAAACACTGAGGATAAAAGTGGCCCAGAGCCTTAACTTATGTACATGGTTCAAATAGTTTGGTCATATCCTATGGAACTACCTAATATCTGATGGATTCTTTAGTAACTCCTGATGTCGGCTGCACCTTTGCAATATTTTTATTTGCAAAAATGATATGTGTTGGAAATGAGAATTATAGCTCTGTTAAATGGTTGTGTTCTCAGTACCGGTATGTTCGGCCATGTTTATATTCATTTTTTGTTTGCTTTCTGCTCAGTTCAAGGATGCTCTTTTTCCTGACTTTATTAGCAATCCCTGCCCTTACGTTTCATTGCAGTCCAGATGGTTTGAAGCTTTTGCTTGTTGTTCAGGTGGTCTCTGTGCTGATGGCACCAGACGGCTGTTAAATGAAGCATTCTTCTTTCCCCTCACTCTGTTAATTGGTATTCCATTAACTGATATCTAGCTCCCCCATATTCCATGGCTGCGTGAATGAGCGTCTTGCTGATCGCACGCCCTCCCCCACTTTCTCCACGGCTGACTCTGACATCACTGAACTGGCTGATGAACAGCAGGATGAGATGGAGGACTTTGATGATGAGGCCTTTGTGGATGATACTGGCTCCGACGTTGGAACTGAGGAGGGATCAGACCTCTTCAATGATGGGCGCGACCCGTTTTACGACCGATCCCCTTGGTTCATTTTAGTGGGAAGGTTGGTGAGGTTCCTGTGAGAATGGCCAAAAGGGACCAGCTCTTGCTGTAGGCTGCAATGGCTTTGCCTTGTGCTGCATAGAATATCTGTCAAGCCAGCCAAAATATCTATGTACATGAATTGGAATTGCCAGAGAATGAGTTCAGTTTAACATTTTTTAAATTCCCATGTCAGAGACCACGAAGACTTAAATAATAATTGAAAACATGACCCGTAGATGCGACAATGTGAGAAATACTATTTCTATTTCTAGATCACATTTATTCTATGTTGTGACAGTTGTTTTAATTCTGTACAGATATAAACATTGCTTGTAAGCACTCTATTTAGCCATTGCAAGGTCACTAAGATAGTATTGTTGTATGTAATTTTCTCCCTTAGAAGAGAATCTCAAGAGTTCAGTGGAAATTCTTTAAGTCCAGTTCAATAAATCAATTTTTTGGAAAACCCACCTAATATCCTCTGTGTCTGAAAAGATGGCCTGAGGAGAAAGAAGAATGGCCCTTTCTGGATGAGAAAAACAGTATTCTTCGAGATGATTTGGCTTCTCAGGTTATGCATGACTCTCAGTAACAAGTATTACATAATGAAAAGTCATCGTTAAAATTCACTGGCTGGCGGTGTTTATCAGTGCTTTCCCCATGCCTTGTGCTTGAATTTCTGACACAAGTTTGCTTAGTCTATTTTAAAGTTTCTGTTTTACCAATCCAGATATGATTTAGGTGGTGTTAGACCTCAGTCTGTGGTGCAGACTGTTAAGGACAGCAAGTTGCATTAAAACAAAGTTGTACTTTGCATTGCTTCTTCACAGTCTTGCTCAAACATGTAACTTGTGACAAGAAACAGAAAGATTTTATTTAGTGTTTTTGTTCCACCTCTCTTCTTATCCTGCTCCCCCAATTGTGCTTTTTTTGTTATTTGATCCCTCTGTAAGCCAGTCTGCTTGTTAAAACAGTGGGGAGGTGGTTCCCACAGGCGTTAGACAGAAGAGGGGGTAAGACTCTATGGCTGGCGGAAGGGAGGAACAAAGGAGAAGGGATCAGAGCTTGACTTTATCCTTGTCTGTGACTGTAAGCAGCAAAGACTTCATGGTCAGGAAAGCAGGATCTTTTTGCAGTTTCCTCAAATGCAGGAAACTCGATTGCATTATTTATAAAAATGGGGGAGTGAGTTTGTCAGTCTTTTGTCAAGCTTTTAGATCAGTTAGTGTATTGTCTAACCTCATTCTTTGTCTTCAGTGGACCTGTTTATACGCTGTGATTAAAACTTGGAACCTCCTTGATCTAGTCTTTGAAACGAAAATTTACAGTTACTTAGAAATTGCGTTAGACCTCTTTGATCTCTGTGAATTTATGCCCTTGTGTGTAATGTCTAATAATAGGTTTATAAAATTTAATTCTTTCAGGTTAATCTGATCCACAAGAGTCAGTTTGGGAAAGCCATCTTGGCTTGGAAGTGGTTGTCAGCTAGTTAAAAAAGCATGTGTGTGCTGTCTGCAGTGGCTTTCTGGTACCAGTGCTGGCACACTCAGCATATTCTGTTGTGCCTGTTCTTTCAGAGCGGGACCGTCAGTGCTTGGGAAAAAGTTGAGCCATTCATCTTCATTTCACAAACTCTTCAGGAAGCACGACACAAGCTGAGCAAATACAGTGTGTAATGAGAACAGTGGTGCTTCCTGGCAGTTGCACAGCTTGCTTCCCGTTTCCATGTATTAAAAAGAATACTGAGCTCTGTCTCTGTAGACAGACATATGAAGCTGCAGCAGTTCAGGGTACTCGCCTGAACCATGTGAGCTGCAAGGATCAAGGAACAATACGTAGGTTGTAAATTGGATCGAGGAATGAAACTTAGTTTGTGTTATCTCTGAATAGACAGCTGAATGACTTTTCCCCAGCTGTTGGTTTCTGTTCTGTTTCTATTTCTGTTGTGCCGATTCTGTCAGCAGAAAGCTGTTAGACTGTTTAGCACCACTGAGTAGAAACCGTTTTGGTTCCTCAGTGTCTTCCAGCATCAGAATTCTGCTTTTGAGCAGTGTGACTTACACTGGGTATGTCCATCTAGGTAGATATTGTCATGAGCACGAGGCAGTGTTCATTTTATAACAGAACCAAAATTCCTTAGCACTTTTGTGTACTTTTGTTAATGTGTTGTGGAATGTGTAGGACAAAAATATAATAATTTGTACTGTTTTCTGGGGGGTATCATCAGCAATAATGAGTCCAGGTCATGAAGGAGAGGAAGAGAAATTGGTCATGTAGTTATCCAACTCCTTGGGCATCAGTATTTTTTTTTCTCTGTGCTGTGACTCTCTTATTTGTACTATAACTATTAAAGAAAAGGAAAAAAAGAGCTGGTCCCTTTAGCCATCTCTTGTGGCATGCTGGGCTGTTTTTTAGCTGATTCTCTTTCATAGTGTGACATATCAAGTATTTGCTATGTTTTTAAGGGAGGTGGGAGAGGACTATGGGATATTTTATTTAAAACTTGAATTGATGTGTTTGTTTTAAAATATCTGTCATCATCCTGAGTTCTGTTGTTTTTGTTTTGATTATTTAAAAAAAAATTGTGTTTGTTAAATTTCATTTCTAGTTTTGTTGTGAGTATGCCATTTTACCTCACCAATCTTTCTGCTAATACAGCTCCCCCTCTTTCAGTCTGCTGGGCTAAGGTGCAGGGGGACACTTGCATATGGGGTGTTTGGGAGTGGGAGTCCTCCCAGACGTGGGAAGAGGAGGAGGATAACCTTAAGATTTCATCCACTCCTAACTTGGTACTGTCTTGTGATGAAGCAGATGGAATGGCACTGGAAGGCAGTGCTGCTCCATAAACCAGCTCTTTTCTCTGTACAGCAAATGTGCTATTGCTCTCCATTCTACAGACGAGATCCAGCATTTTCGTCACCAAACAGGAAGCTTAAAACTTTTTGCATTGTGTGCCTTTCTTTCTTTAAGTTAAAATGATTCCAGTGAGCTATGTGTCTAGATGGAGGGGAGTTAAGGAAGACGATCAATTTTTTTTTTTCTTTGGGATGGTCATTTTACTGAGGTGACAGAATTGTTGCTAATGAAAGTGAATGCTTTGGCTGTTGAACAGCAGCTTCAGAACTTTAGCCGTGCAAATAAAAATATATTTTTATTTTTCATGCAGTTAATGCTTTAACTTTCCACTATTTTGACTTTGAAATAGGAAGGCTTCTGTGATGGCTGCCTTTTAGTTAGTGAAACTGTCTCTTACTGTATACCTACCAGTGCAAGGCTACTTAGATTCCTTTCTGTTGGGGAAAAATGTCCGTTCTCCCTAGCTTGAAATGTGGTTTTCAAACTGCGTGTGTTTTTCCTGTTGAGCATATAACTACATACCTTCCTGAACTCCATCCCTGGTCCAGTCTAAGTGAACGATTCCAGTTTGTTAGCGTGAGGGACTGTTTTCTTGTATGGTGGGATGCTGTTTTCTCAAATGAGTACTACCTGAAATTGAAAAGCTAAAAATGAAAATGTTTTCTTAGAGGAAAAAAAAAACAAAAAACAAACCATCAACCCAGTAAATTTTCATTTTGTTACTTTAAATTTAGTCTGTTCTCCCTTCCCCTGCTTTGTCAGTGCTTACCTCACTTTGGAGCAGACTGAAAAGGAATTACATCCTAATCCTAGTCAAGTGTTACGTTGCAGTTGTTTTTTTGTTGTTGTATGGTTTTCTTCATTTTTTGTTTTGCTACTTTTATAGCCTTATTAATCATTCTCTTCTCTATTGCATTTTGTCACCACTTTGTTTTTTAGTAGCATTATTTTTGTTTCTTTGGTTCACAACTGACACCTGTTTGACTACCTTGTCATTTCAAGATAATTCATTCATTCTGGGAACGGGCATATGAACCCAAGGAGAAACACCTTTTCCTAACGTTGGTCCTTAGCTCTGTGTCACAAGGAATTGAGTTCGGTTCAGTTTTGCTGTGTTCATGGAAAAAATTCTACAGCTGATGTCTTCAGACAGAGGCAGTGAACATCTTTATTTCTGAGTCCTCTTTTGTCATGCAGGACTTTCCCTATGAGTATTAACCAGTAACAGTTATAAATTTGAGGAATTAATTAAGCTTAATAATAAAGACAAATAAAAAGGACTGTAAGAAGGAAATCTAGTTAATGACTGATCTTTAGTATAATTTAATATGCATAAATTCATTAAAACTTACACACATAATTGGTTAGTCACTTTGAATTTACTGACTGGTAAAACGATTGGTTAAACTTCTATGCATCTCAGTACTCTTCTGAACTTTGAAACAGCTCGTTTAATAAATAAGGTCTTCGATTTCCTTCCCCCCCCTTGTTGAGAGCCATTCTTTTCCTGACTTGTTAGGCTTCTCAACATTGAAAGTTGTGGTCGAGCTAATCACACTGTAGTGGGGTGCTTTAAGAACTTCTGCAATTCATTGCAGAAACTTAAAATAACTTAATAACGTTAGTCTAACTTTTAATTAAAAATCTATACAATAAAACTTGTTAATGTTCCAAAATAGGCCCTGCTCATATGTAACTTAAAAGTTAGTATATGGCACGATCATCCAGTACTGGGCCTAAATACTGATTTTACTGTTGTAAACTGAAATTTCTAAATGATTGCTCTAGTATACTGTTGTGGTGTTTTGTTGGTTTTTTTGGGGGGAAGCTAGGAAAGAAATAGAATTCTCCTAGAGATATTTAGCCGAAAGACTGTCAGTCTTCCACTATCAGTACACTCAGTGAATCTTCCAAGGAACTTACGGTTTATTGAGAATTTCTGATTATTCTGTATGCAGTGTTATCAAATTAACACAGGACAGAGAAAACGTACAGTCAATCTGTTCTAAAGAATGTTTTTTTTTTATATTCAGTAAGATATTTGAGGCTGGGTGAACACAGTAGATCAATTCCCTTTTAATTTATCACTTCAAACAACACTCATGGGGTGGAAAACAAACAATTCCTTACTAAGGAGCTACTCATTATAGACTTCTACCATCTTGCCAACAGCTCCATTTACAATTGTAGTGCATTTAAAATTACCTTCTATAAAGCCATCATCTTAAATTGTCTCCTTCATATGTTTTGTAACTCACTAATACAAGCCCTGTGTCTCCAGTATACTCTGATTTAGAACATTTTGTGGCTTCACGTGGCTTTCACACTGCTGCAGAGCCCTGTGTGGACGATGTGGATACATGACCACAGTGCAGGTCTAATAGATGGAGTGAAGTAGGCTGTCTGAGGATTTGAATGTTACATTAGCCAGCCAAATACTGCAGTCTGGTTTCACAGATGATTGCCTAATGCTGTTTGTGTTTTCTCTTTGCTTCCCATTACCAGAGCATTTGTATACCTGAGCAATCTACTGTACCCGGTGCCTCTTATTCACAGAGTAGCTGTTGTTAGTGAGAAAGGAGAAGTACGAGGATTTCTGCGAGTAGCAGTGCAAGCTATAGCAGGTGAGATACCGAGAGCTTTACATTGCAAATCTTTGGTACACTGAATAGCTGTAGCTTTAAAAAACAGGCAAATAAATCAAACTATTCTCTCTTATGCTCAAACCTGAATAATTTTAGTGTTGCAAAGAACATTTGTTCCTTATTATTAACTTGCTTTTGAAATTTTTTTGTTGGCGTCAATCATATGGACCAAGCATGAGTAAATCTTGAAGTAGTGCTACTGATCAGAAACTTCTAAAGCTGTGGTGTAGACCACTGAAGTTTATACCTAGCAACTAATGCAACACAGCTCTTTAAGACAGCAAAAGGGATAACTAGCATCAGTAAGTCTAAAAACTAAAAATAAAGGTTTTCTTTCTGACACCCAGTATAAACAAGGGTATATGCAAGTTTGATACTAGTGGTAATTTGCAGAAAAGTTTAAAAGTACCGAGTGTTTGCTCTTCTCAAACTATCCTTTTAAATGATGTGCTCCTCCATTGTCTGACTCAGGAGCATGTGAAGAAGTTCCCGAACTGATGGTTTTCAGCACAGTATATACAGAAATCAGCAGCAGTTTTCCATGTCACCGCCTCACTAAAATGTGTTGAGACTTAGGAGCTGCTTTGACATACTTTTTAATCACCAAGAGTTATCAACTTTTCAGATGAGAAGGGTAAATAAATGTATGGCGATGGTAACTGCCTTGTCCAGTTTTGAACTTCTTTTGTATGTGTGCCAGAGCTTAACTGTGGTCCATTAGTCAGCTGCTAATATTTTATGCTTTTCCAGTGTGAGTTGAACTAGTTGAGTTTTACTGTTGGTAGTTAGCCATGTCTTATCCGTGCTGGTGAGCAGAGATACTTCCCATAATTTGTCCTTTCTAGCAGTGGCTAACTGCCAGCATTTCTTTTTGTTTAGGTAGGGTAACCCTGGAAGTTTCACTCTCCATGGGAACATATAATGAAATCTCAGACTCTGAAGATATGTAAGAATCACTCTGACAGGGTCTGAAACAGCAAGTGAAATAAAATCTATTTTAATGTGTACAAAAGTCTCATTTAGTTTAGTCTCCTTAGCATTGACCAAATATTTCCAAATAAATATTCTATTTATACATCCAAATAGAGTACACCATCATTAATAGAAATGGAATGGGGGACATGGCTTGAAAAAGGGCCGCGGCATTATTTGGTCCCTAAGTGAAGCTTTGGAACACTTTCTGAATCTTGGGATTTTTCCTGCAAGCATGCATTTACTGTGGGAAAAAAATACCTGGCGTTTAACCAGGCCTCATTGTTGTTGTTCTTCACAAAGAGGAGGAGGTTAAATGGACAGATTGTACAGACAGACCCGCCTTTCAAACCTACAGCATCTACTTGTGAAGCTTTGCTAGTGTTACTGCTTAGTTTATGGCTACAGGATTTTAGATGGCGGTTTAGATCAATGTAAGTCTCTATTCCCATGTGGGTTGTATTATGGTGTGTTAATTTACCTTGGGTATAATGATCAGAAGTAAGTGAATAATAAAAAAGAGTGCCGAAGTTTTGCATTCACAATGCTCTGAAGTTAAGTATATTCGTGATGAAACTTCATAGGTTCTCCTGTTGTTTTCCCCCACTTGACTTCATGATGGATAGATTTCTGCTGTGATTTTTTCCCAGCACTTACTGTAATCTGTCATTGGATGACTGGAACCAGGCCTCTTCTGCTTTATGGACTAGTTTCCATTGTAATCAGAATTTCCATTTAGATAACTCTGAGGGTGTTTCCCTATCTTCCCCATCATTATTTTTTCTTTTTATGTTTTTTAGCTGATGAAGAAGCCCCAGATTATGGATCTGGTATTCGACAGTCTGGCACAGCTAAAATTTCATTTGATAATGAATATTTTGATAAGGTAAGAAATTTAAAAATTGGTTTAGGTTTCTTTGAGTGCAGTAGTTTGTGCTTCTAAATAAAGAATAAGTATGGTGCAGGAAGAAGGGGATGGCAAAACCAGAAACTGCAGGAGTCTGTTCCGTGACACTTCATTTGATTTTGCAGAGTGATTTTTCTTCAGTTGCGATGACTCGGTCTGGACTATCATTGGAAGAATTAAGAATTGTGGAAGGGCAAGGACAGAATTCTGAGGTTACTACTCCTCCAGAGGAGATCAACAGAATGAATGAGCTAGGTAAGCAAGAAATATGTAGTAGTTTTGGAGAACGTAAGGGAAGTCTTGGGACACTCTTCTGTCAGTGACAGAAAGGGGTTCTCAGTGTACTTTGAGAATAAGGTAGGTAGGAAGAGTTGTAACTGATGGGTTGTATATGATAGATGCTGGTGTTACTCATTTGAAGAACTCTGCAGGAAAACTGTTCCAGGTATTTGAATCTTTTGATTATCAACAAATAATTTGAGCTCAAAAGAAAAGCAAAATAGTGAAACGGGACTAAACTGTTGCCAGAAGGGATATTTTAAGAAAAGAAAGGAGGGGGGAAAAAAAAAAAAAATCTGATTTCATCTGGGATGTGTATGTCTCCCTAAGACTTGAAGTCAGCCACTTTGGATGGGAAGATGACTATGGAAGGATTCACCGAGGAAATTGGTGATCACTTGAAACTGGGTAGTGTGTTTACCTTCCGTGTGACAGTGCTACAGGCCAGCGGCATCCTTCCTGAATATGCAGATATTTTCTGCCAGTTCAAGTAAGAATTTGTCCTTATTTACAATGGGGAATTAATGGCTTGATATAGAGTGCAAATGATAGCGGGCAGTGGAGGGTCTGATAGAGAGCTCTTCACGTCAGTGGCAGTGTGGTGTAGCAGAGAAAAACACCTTGTCTGTTACTGGAATTCCTGTTGTGAGCAGTACCTGCGGTGTGTTAGCATGGTGACAAAGGAATAAAGTTTTGCAGAAAGGAATTAAGAATCAGAGTGGACTCATAAGTTACTAGTTACAGATATCTTAAGTTTTTGCTTGATAATGGCTTTTAATGTGCAAAATTCAATACTAGATTGTACGTATGTTCAGTTGGAATGGAAACTGTATGACCCTTGACTAAATCAGTAGCTCTCAAGTGAAAGTGTTCTTTGGCTTAGTTTCGTAAGAAAGAGAACGAAAAATGGGAGTAATAAAGACACAAAACAAGAATGGGAATGGTCCCAAAGACTAGGGTATTCCTAGCTTTAGACCATCACTCAACTCCCTGTAAAGTTCTAGCAGAATAAATTTATGGATTTCCTTTCAGTGTTGGGTTCACAGCACAGCAATCTTCGCTAAACTGTTCTGTGGTGTTTTGTTTTATTTTAAAGCTTTTTACATCGCCATGATGAAGCTTTCTCAACAGAACCTCTCAAAAACAATGGTCGAGGGACTCCCCTTGGGTTTTACCATGTTCAGAATGTAAGTAAAGCTTTATGTGAATGGTAAGTGCCTGTCTTAGCACTGGGAGTTGTGTGTAGCCTTGCTAAACTCATAAAAGGTGTATGGGAAAGGGGGATGAGGGGAGTTACTGAGAATAGACAATAGCAGGAGTGATCAGGTGAATGATATCATTACTAATAGAGAACAAAATACAGAATGATTCTGTGTGGCAAATTTAACTCTTCTGTTTTATCTCTACTTCCTGCCTTTGAACTCTCTGTTCCTTTTTCAGGACATTCAGTGAAAGCAGTCTAGAATTCAGGAAATAAAAAATATGTGAAAAGCAGTGCTCATGATCTCAGATGAACTGAATATATCTATTTTTATGAACTGTGTAATCCAGACTTGTAAGACTTCCTTTTTGATTGTCTCATCTTCTTTCTTTACTTTGCCTGATAGATTGCTGTGGAAGTGACGGAATCATTTGTGGACTACATCAAAACGAAGCCTATTGTGTTTGAAGTCTTTGGGCATTACCAGCAGCATCCTCTCCATCTGCAAGGACAGGATCTCAACAGGTATCGTCCACTATTGTGGCGTAAAGGCTGTTTGTGGTCATGCTCAGGTTAGCTCTGCAGTTCGGGCAGTACTTTTTCATACTCCTGAAATTACATAGCCACACCCTCAGGAGTAGGATTCCTGACAGAGGCCTATTTACCCGCTGTAGGATCTTTTGTTAGTGAATGATGGATTTGTTCTGCTTTCTCAAACATGGAAAGCTGTTTTGCCAACACAGCTGCATCCACCCTGCACACACTGTGGTGGTAGAATATTGTACTCAGCACTTCAGTGGTGATCTCAGTGAGTTCTGGGTAAACCTTAACAATGCTCCAAGATGCATTGGAATGGTTTGGAACATTGGAACATCCCTCAGGGCAAGTGGCCTGATGAATAAACACAGACACACAAGACTGGGGGGAAAACAGAAGGCTTTCAGCTTTCTGACATACTAGTGCCAAAGTTGTGGTGCATTTGAATTTTGGGAATTGGGGAAAGGAGCCTTAATCATTCTTGTCTTCATAGCTTAAGGGAAGAGGCAGTTGTCTGGATTGCTTGGCCTGGTTAGCCCTCAACTGAAGGCAGCAGCTGCTGGTTTTAGGAGGAGATGTCAACTGAGGCTTGTTCTTTTCCATAACTTGTTTCAGGAAATGCCTGTTACCTACTGACACTTTCAGTGCAGAATGGGGGTAGAGCTGTTGGAAACTGTAAATATATATATATATTTTTTTACTGACAGGATTAATTAAGTCAGAAAAAAGGATATAGAATAGTCTGAGAAGTGGGCTGAGTCCACTTGTTTCCCTGGCAGGTGATATTTACCTGTCTTCATGGGATTGTGAGGATGTTTTTAGAGACAGAAATGGGTGTAAGGACTGTATTGGGGGGTGGAGTGTATACAAACAGGCATGTGTGTGTATTTGTTTATGTATTTTAGGTTTAATTGCCACTGTATTGAAAACTTTTTATTTCTTTATAGCCCTCCACAGCCTTCCCGAAGATTCTTTCCTCCCCCTATGCCACTCTCAAAGCCAGGTGAGAACAGTTCTCTAATTCTGTACATCACATCTGCTACTGAAAAGGAAGGTTGTAGTGTTCTAGCTATTCAGGACACCAAGAAATACAATGGAGTGAGTTTGCAGAGGGTATTGGATCCATCTTTGCTGGCTGTCTTCTTTTTTACATTCTTTTCAACCTCCTCTTGCAGGAAGTGAAGGGTAGAATTTCATTCCTGAGGTGTTAACTATATTTCATGAGATCTGGCTGTGGCTCTTCATGTGCTTTCTGAGCACTTGACTGGAATTTGCTTATTCATTAACTGTTTCATCTTTTTGCTCTCTAACATTCTTGTTTAGTGAGTCAGTCTTGTTGAAATGATCCTTGGTTTTCTTTGTTTAACTGTAATAATGCATGCTCTGAACTCTTTTGTGTTTCTTTTTTTCCATTTCACTTCTTAATTTCCTCTTTCTCCAGCTTTCTCTCATCTGCATATTTCTACCACCCTTTTTTTGTGTGTGTTCCATTCCCTTTGCAGACCATGAAAGAAAAATTGAGTTGATTAGGTATCTTATGTCTGGCTATGTAAACGTGCATGTGCTGAACACGCTATCCGAGCATGCCAACGTGCTTGCATCCTCTGCTGTGGCTGCTTTCCAGGATGGAGCTGACCAGCTGCCACCTTTTCTCTTTCTGCCTGTTCCCAGTTGTCAGAGTGAGCGGGTTCCTAAACGAGATGGTTAGTAGCCAAACTTGATCTATGGTAGATGTAGAAGTAGTTCCAAAACACACTTCAAAATTCCTTTTTGCTTATCTTTATTATGTAGTGTTCTTGGGACTAGAAACTGCCATGGTTGTGGTCATGGAAGGATGGTGCTGTGCTTAAGTTTAGGGCTATTCTAGAGAGAATCATACAGAGAGTCTGTAAGCTCCAGCATGCTAGGTATCACATATTTTTCTGTGTCACTGGATCTATTCCCTGAAACTTCCCTGGACCTCTGACTTTTTTGTGTGTGTTCTTTACATAATTTTGTGATACTGGGATGAGAGATGCTGCAAATGAAAAAACAGCTAGCTGTAGAGGAGACATTCTGCTGTGTTCTGTATAGGTTTCGTTTTTGCTCATCATTTTGCCACTGATAGTGCTGTTCCTCTCTTACATTTGTGTTCTGTTTTATTATTTAAAAAAAAAAAAAAAAAAAAAAAAAAAAAAAAAAAAAAAAGAGGATGACATTCTGGTTCTTAATTGTGCCAGGGCAAGTCCATGAGAACTACTAGAACTGGCTTTTGTGTTTAGTTAAATGTGTCTTTCTGTTGTTTCTCTCTTCTGGTGTTTTTGAGTTTCTCTGCTTAGCAGTAAACTTGAGTGACTTAGAACCACGTAAACTTGGTGTGTTTGATGTTCCTCTTGCTGTCATCAGGACTGAGTCCAGCTGTTGATGTGCAGTTACATGATATGATGGGTGTACGAGAGTGACTACCCTGAGAAATGAATGGGAAGAGTAAATGGTGACACCAAAGCTTACTACCTAGCGTGATGGAACTGTAGTGCTGAGAATAACTGATTCTTGTAAAATCTGTCCTTCTGAGGTAGCTGCTATTTTACCCAGAAAAGAAAGAGAGTTCACTTGTTTTTTTTCCTTGAAAAGAGACTACACAGACACACCTATAAGGACCTTTTCTTAACTGGGGACTGTTGTGCCCTTCCAGTGCATGGAAAATTAAGTCATGGTGGAAGCTGAAAGATATACAGAGATGTGAGGACAGGACAACCTAAAGAACACTTGAGCAAGCGAAGAATGGGGCTTGAGACCGTAGAAGGGACAATAATTATCTGGCTTAATAAAAAGAATGAGTTTAGTACGTGAAAGGAAAAAAAATGGAAGATCAACTGCAGAGTTACAAAAATACCTGCAGCATACACAGAAACTAAGCTTTTAAAATGTCCCCATTTACAAAATGGCATGAACAAACAGATAAGAGGTTGTGTAATGATAGCTAAAAGATGTGATGCAAGTATGTGTGAAGGCATATCAGGTTATCTCGAGAATTTCAGTTATCCCATTTGTTTTTTTAGCATGGTTTATCCCTACATTTGTATGAAAGGAATTAAAGGGGATCTGGCCAGTAGTAATCACTAATACCAAAACATAAGGAGCCCAGAAACATACTTTGGCAGAATTATGGCTATGGAATAAGTCTAGTTCAGCCTTTTTACATACACATTGTCTTATCTAAACTGGTACAGGAGACTAGCAGTTTGGAACATGAAGTGAAGACCAAAGTTTTAATTTCTTCTTCTTTTGTTTTTTTTTTTTTTACATTTTTTTAACTTGTGTGGGGAAGGGGAAATGTACTTCATGGGTGAGTAGTGTTGCAGACACAGACCCATGCAATTCTAAATCATAAACTGTTAAGCCATAAAGTAAGTGATGCACATTTGAGGAAACTTTTTTTCTGTGAATGTAGAGAAACTGCTTATTTTTTGCGAGATTCTTGGATACGCTTTTGTTACTTAATTTTTTTTTTTTTAAATCTAGTAACTTATATTTTTAAAATGAAATGTTAAAAAACATCCCTTTGAGAAATAATGACTGCTGTAAGCAACACTATTTTCATGGAAAAGATGTGGTCTGCGTATGTACGTAGAATGCGTAGGATCACAGAAATTACATGTTTCTGAGAGCCCTAAGGTGAGCTTTACTTGTTCAGTCTTTGTAAACCATTCTTTTTTTTTTTCTTCTTTCTTTTTTTTCTTTCTGTCTTCAAGTGCCGGCGACAAAGCTAAATACTATGAGCAAACCCAGCTTGGGCCAGAGTGTGAGCAAATATGACCTCCTTGTGTGGTTCGAGATCAGCGAATTGGAGCCGACAGGGGAGTAAGTCCCATATTAATCTTTTAAGAACAGTGGGTGTGAGGAGTTTGATCTTTCACCTTTTGTTCTGTTCAGGCAGTGATGATTAGCAGTCACTATGGAGTGGCGGCCTGGCTGGTTTGTAGTGATTGAGTGTAAATTCTGCTGGCATTTGTTGTCCCCACTTGAAAGGACTGAAGAGACAGAATGACATCCTTTCACTCTTGAAGTAATCCTTCCCATGCACACCAGCTGAACAGGTGTTGGGAAAACTGACCCTGTGTATGCTGTGAGTTTAGATCCTTTGGGTCGCTAGAGACTTTATGCTCCAGAAGTCATCTAGCAGGCCCTGTTTTATGTTCACCTCCGCTACAGAGGTTTTCCCCTGATAGGGCTTTAGGGATTATTTTGCAAAGCCAGTTCCACAGAGTTTTCCAGAAGCACTGGAAGTACAGTATATGATACTTGACGCTGATACTGTGGTGCAGTAGAAAGTTCCAGTACGAGAGTCAGTAAAAACACTCTTACTTCTTAAGATACTGTATGGAGAGGTAACTGTTGGCAGCAGAATACAGAGGAAGACTGCTGTGTTAGTTTATCTTCCCCGCCAGTTGATTTCACTGTCTCACACAGGTATATTCCTGCTATTGTGGACCACACTGGAGGCCTGCCCTGTCAGGGGACGTTCCTGCTTCACCAGGTACTAATGAAGGCTGTAGAACAGCACGTTTAATCTCTGAGGAGAGATTAGAATGCTAATGACTGGATTTTGCATCTTGTCGTCTTCTTTCCCACACAGCAGTCTAATGATAGCTGTAGGGTCAGTCACCTTGCAGTCTGTACTTAGTCTGTTAACTTTGGGCTACGAGGAGAATGTTTGGCCCCTAGTATACTGCTGTTTCCCTTGCTTATCGGTGTACATCCCACTCATGAAAGATGAAAGCCATTTAAACATCAGGAACCTTTGGGACTGGATTTGTGCCTTCAGTGTGCTCTAGCATCTCTACTGAGGACACAGAAGGATCATGTGGATTCCACTTCCATTGGCTCTTTCTTACTGCATGTGATTACAAAATGACCATGTCTCAGTGCATTTTAAATGCCTGTAATAATCCTTAAAAATAATTTGTCTTTAGATAGATTCTAAGGATAATCCTAGTTAAATATTGTTTATAGGTTTATGTTATATTTTTTTCTACTCTCAAATTCTCAGTTCCTTTTCATAGAGTTTACCTGTGACTTGCATTTCCTCTTTTTCTTAAAATGATAGCAACATTTCTTATAGTTTAGGAATACCGGTCACATTCCAGTAATTTCCTTTAAAAAAAAAAAAAATTATTAAAACTGTTACTCATTTCTGGATCTAGTAGTGTCCTCATCAGTTTCTGCCAGTTCAAACCAGAATAATTCTAGCCTTCATAATTCCATTGCCAAATCCCCAATACAGGCAAACATATTTCAGCTTCTTTTGAAAAAGTCACACACAGAGCACCTTCTCCCTGGATAGCTGTCTTCTACATTTGCAGGAGTGGTATCTGTTGCAACCAACAGCTGGGGAATTTTTCTTTTTCAGATGCGGTGTTTATTCTAAAATTTTACCTTCTTCCCAGCTGTTACAGAGTTTTGTTATATTTTGATTTGTACCAGATATGCGTGACAAAGGAGGGGGATATCTACATGAGCAGCTGCTATTTTCTAGTAACTTCTTTTGGTATATACACTTTAATATAGGTATATAAGCACACATTACCCAAGTATTTGCTTGGTTTTGTGGTCAACTCTGATATATCCCAGGGATCATACATATCCTCTTTGAGAGCACAGCAACAATTTCAGGACTATTTTAAGTTAAAAAACCTCTGCCATTGTGGATTGAAGAGGGAGAAGTATAATTTCTGTTACATGTGAAAAATATAATGTTCCTCTTGATTTTAGGGCCCTGAAACACATGGGTGCTTGTTCACGGTTACAGACTAATCTAAATGATCTTATTTGCTTCATTTTTGAAGTATAAATGCAAAATGGACATAGTTATTGTGTCTGTTTATGTGGCAATACTTCACCAGTGGTATTTTGTTGACTCTACCAGGGAATCCAGCGTAGAATCACAGTCACAATCATCCATGAGAAGGGCAGTGAGTTGCACTGGAAAGATGTGCGAGAGCTTGTTGTCGGTGAGTATATTGCTTTGCGTGTTGCTACAGGGAAGAAGCAACACTAATGATAATTCTCTTTGTATCAGATTCTGTCATGTTTATGAGTATTGGCTATGAGAGGAGGATTTTGAAAAAGATTCAGAGAAAGAACTTAAGTTTTTCAACTTTCACTTACAACTGCTTGTTAATCATGTAGTGTGAAATTATATTTGGGGAAACAGATTCCTTCTGTGTTTGAGGTTTAGTTTTAACTGATTCCTTTTTGTATCCTTTTCAGGGCGCATAAGAAATAAAGCAGAGGTGGATGAAGCTGCTGTGGATGCTATTCTGTCTTTGAATATTATCTCTGCAAAGTACCTGAAGTCCTCTCACAGCTCCAATAGGTAAGTAGAGTGAGCACTCTAGTAGGAATCTAAAATTTCTTTGACCTCTGAGGTACTGGCAGGATGTTTGGAAAGCTGTGAATGTTGCTTTATTATTAATGTAGAATTTCATGGGCACAGGGCATAGAGACAGAGAATGAATGTTGTCATAAATTCTTACTAAAGCTGAAGTCCACCTGTCTACATGGAGGATTTCTTGATAGTGCATTTGAATTACTTTCTATGTATAAGCACCATAAAGGGAGGATGGAAAGGAACAGTTTAAGGGAGTCTCAAAATTTAACTCAGAACTTTTAAACTGACATCTAAGCTTGTTGCTAGAATACAGCATTGAGGTACAAGGGCAATCTTGGGGATGTATTTATGGATGTGTACATACCTATATTATTCCTGGAACAAGCATGTGACAGTTGGAAGCAAGAGCGATGCTTTGTGAATTAAACTTTATAATTTGTGAATTTATGCAGATGGATCACAAATTTACTCCAGTTCTAATAAGGGAGTGTCTGTTCCATGTAACTGCAGTCATTTGGGCCCCTGACTGAAGGTTTCTGGTTTCGTGTGTCTCCTCATTAGGGTGCGTTGCTGTAAAAAATCAGACTCCACATTGTTTTGCCTCAGTGTTTGCAACAAAGGGCAGTGAAGCAGAATGCTGCATTGCCGGCACAGCCTCTCTCTACTCTGACATCAGCCAAGTCACTTGATCATTCCATTGCTCTGTTTAGCTGGTGCAAAGCAGTAATATCCCTGAAATTTAACTCTGAGCATTTCCAGAGGGGAGAGGATCATTCTGGAGCCCATCTCTGCTGCAGCTGCTGAATGCTGGAGGTGGTATCCTTCTAGGAGCTGAAATGGCTTCTTCCTTCTCCATTAGAGGCTTGGACTTTGAAATACCACTGCGATATTAAAGGTGGATTCAGGACAGTGCTCCTACCAGCTGAGTGGCTTCCTGCCACCTAGTGACTGCAAACGCAGATGGTGATGGGCTTTCCAGCAGTTACTTGCCTCCCACTGCGAAGTGGGTATTTCATTTTTAGTGAATTTGAATTAATGGATCAGTATAACTGGATGTAAAGGGACTGTTGCTCATTTCTAGTCTGATACTATTGGATTTGCAGTTGGAAAGCCCTGTACTTTCTGTTCTCTAGCGATTTCAAGAAATTCCTGTATAGCTCTTTGGTTTTCTATTAGGTGTGCCTCTTGGATGAGCACTGAGTGTGAGTGAAGTGAAGCTGTTGATCATCTCTTAGCAAAATGCCAAGATTTAAACTGTGGGCTGAGTGCATGGTGGGGTGGGGGAGTGGCATTAAAGCCCTGGTAGGGGTGTGTCTTATGTTTGGTCATTGTCTGCAGACTTTTTTCCTGGCTGGTGTGGTTTTTTTTTGTTGTGTTTCTGTTTTGTTTTGAAGTCCACTTGTTCTGTTCCTCTCTGCTATTGCTTTTCTGTTTGGCTTTTGGCTGCACTAACTGAAGCTCTTTCTATGTTTTTACAGGCTCTTTCTTGATAAGGATATGCCTAGGTATTTTCTGTTTGCTTCCTTTGTACATAAAGATTCTTGAAAATAGAATGCTTTATGTCTCATTTTCTATTACTGCCATTTCTCTTTTAGCTTTTACTGAATTCTGTTAGCGTGCCTCTTAGCTCTTCCAGAAGTAGTATACCTCCTCCTCCTTTGTGTCAGGGATTTATTCAGGTACAATTCAGTGGGGATCTTACGAAGATAAATTCTCATTCACATGTAAGAGTTTCCTTCGTTCAGTCTTTCTGATTCTCAAAATGTGCCATTAGAATGTAGTCCCTACTTGTAGTCCTTGCTATTTTCTTTCTTTGTTCTGTATCAAATAACTAAATTTGGAAGTTCTTACTGTCTCTGACTCTGTAATGTTTGCCATGTTTGAAGTACCAAGTCAAGGACTGAATGATTAGGTTACTTGAAATTCCAGCTCAGAATTGCACTGAACAAAAAGCAGTGGCTGCCATGTGACTGGCATTCAACCTCTGTTATTAGGTTGGATTTGCATCTGTAATTTAACTGTGTGGTTGCTGCTGCTTAGTTTACCAGTTGGCAGGGAAGTGAGACGTGTAGTAGCTGCTCAGACTGGATTCCTCTTTCACCTTCCAGACTGGATCCCAGCCAGGCATGCTGGCTGCACGGTCTGGGACAATTTGCACTCTGCTTTCGGTGTTCTGCCTCTTTGAAAAAGAGAAGACTTAAGTGTTCAATGTTCTCAATTCACCACCTTTCACTAATGCTAAAATCCACTTAAAAATCAGCTCTGACTATACATTGGTGCCTTTTAACCGGTTTCTCCTCTTCTCCATGCTTTGCTTGTACTGTGCTTCGTTTTCCTCCTTGCACCATTGGCTGTGCTGAAAGAAGTTTGCTCCCTTCTGGTTTTTGTCTCCCTGTATAACTGTTCTAGCAAGTTCGGGTTTGGACAGGCAAGACTCTGTATATTTAACTTCCTAACTAGACAGAATCCAGTAGAATAACAGTCTTGAAGCTATACTTGACTTGGTGTTCATCCAAAAATCATAATTTTGCGAAAGAAGGGCCTTTAGTGCTGCACTGATGGATGTTTACACCTGTGTTCTCTTTTCATGGTGAGCAGTCATGTTTGGCAAATGGTGCAGAGGTGGTTCAGGCCCTGGGGACTTGGGCTTTCCCATCTGTGGAGAACCAGGTTTTACTACCTTTTCTTCCACCCAGATAGCAGATCTGGAGCTTGCTAAAAGTTTTATAAAATTAGTCTCATAACTAAGACATGATGAAAGATTAAAACATGGGGACTCCACACAGATTTGTAAAGGGTTAGAGGACAACCTCTGTTGTTTGCCTAATCCAACTCAAGTAAGGATTATTACATTGCAGTGCTTTTAAAGTTGCCAGTGACTTAGCCTTTAGAATATGTTTCTCTGTGGCATTTTTAGCACAAGTAAGACGTAAGTAATTTCTTAAATATGCTACTGCAAATGCAAGCAGTATTTCGCAGTATTCTCAAACTGTATTACTTGACTGCACAGTTCATGATGTCTCAGTGTATTAGCTCGGAATTGGGTAGCGGGTGTCAGGAGAAAGGGGTTCTTGGGAACTTTTATTTGAGATCAGAACTCTTTGTTTCTTGTATGTCTGCTCTTAGGCTGCTTCTTATTTATTCTTATTTTGTTATTTCTTTCTTCCACCCTCACTCTGCTTTCTGTCATTTGTTTTTGGTTTAATTTTCTATTTTTCTGAGCCAGCCTTGGGCATTACTACAGAAACTCTTTAGAGATATAACCTGGTTTTTAAAAATAATATACATGAAGCACCTTCTTGCTTTGTTTCATGTCATTTGGACTTGAAATGGGATGGAAAACCTCAACAGCAAGGGGATTAGGAAGGGAAATTATATGGAGGTGATGAAGAATTAGTAACTTCTTTGTCTGTTACCAGTGTAGAGAAGTGTGCTGTATTCCTGGGTAAGGGTACAGGGCTTCTTTCCAAAGGAACCTCCACTGAAATCAGTCTCTACCTGTGAGAAAGGAGAAAGCTCATTCCCTTAAGCATCTGTTAGAGAGGAGAGAGTGTAATGGTGACTCTAGATCTAATGATTTAGCTGTCCTGTGTATGCTGCTCTCACTTTTTACTTCAACAAGTGAACTTTCCTGGTTGCTGGGGTAGAACTGTGGGAGCCTTCAGCTCCTTTCTTTCCATGTATGAAACTGAAGAAACTTCTTAAAAGAATTTGTGTTAGATCTACCAGATCTATTTGAAGCTAGTAGGGACTTAGAAATCTTTATTGGTTCAATATAGGATTTATCCCTACCTATCAGTCATTCTGATTTGCTATCAGAAGCTTCTGGTTTTATAAGACTAAGTATTAGAGGGATCTCTTCTGTTGCTGTATGTTAGTCCTGAAGTATGATATAGAGTAAGTGTTTTTTGTAAAAAAGAATCTTTTAATGCACTTTGGAGGTCTGTCTGGGCTGAATTGCACCTGAAGAAATAGAAAGGAATTCTGTCTGTTTAGAAATACTGGGTTTTAGTGCTGACTTCCTTGTAGTCTTTGACAGCTGTTGTTCTCTTCAGTATTCCCTCTTCTCTTTTAGATGAGTCTTTTTCCTAATAGGCAGTGGTGTCTTATGCCACACTATTTGAGGTAGAAGTAGGTAGTCTTGGGAAAGAAGAGAAGGTCTTTGCTTCAAGCATTTGTTATCTAACCTACTGAGACTCATAGGAAGTCAAGGAAGAGATGCTTTACAGTGACCAGTGAGAGGGATGGAGAGGAACTCTTACTATTGAGCTTTTACTGTACTTTTTTCCAGGACTTTCTATCGGTTTGAAGCAGTTTGGGACAGCTCTTTGCACAACTCGCTTCTCCTCAATCGAGTGACACCGTATGGAGAGAAGATATATATGACCCTTTCTGCTTACCTGGAGGTTAGAGACCTATGCCTTCCTTTTTATTTGTGACTCAAGTATAACTATTTGAGACAGCAGACAGTCTGTACCGGAGATAAATACTTACTGGACTAAGAGATTTTGATTCCCAAAGCTAGTAAAAGTGTTTATTAATTTTCTGAGAATAGGGTGGAAAAATTGATCCACAGTTAACATTTTGATGTCAAGGTATTACTGCCTCGCCACAAATGTGCAGTGAAACTGTGGGTCTCCTTAGCTTTCGGTGCTTCGTTTTTATCTATCTTTGTATCTAAAAATCTGTTGAAATCAGTGAATGTTGCTGTGTAAGTACTACTAGTGTTACAAACACTGGTCTAGCTCTTGGCTTTGCATGCAAGACCCTGTTTTGTGTAGTACAATTATTTCACCCACAGGAAGCATCAAGAAATCTGACAGATCTCTTTACACAGAAACACATATGAAAACCCTTCACCAAAGACCCAAACAAGAACAAATTTCAAAAAGCTGACGCACTAAAAGAAGGAAGCAGTGTAACTTGGCATAGTTGTCTGCAGCCACTCATTCATTACTGTTTTTTCCTCTTAGCTTGACCACTGCATCCAGCCTGCTGTTATAACAAAGGACGTTTGTATGGTCTTTTATTCACGAGATGCCAAGATCTCCCCGCCACGATCACTACGCAGTCTTTTTGGCAGTGGCTACTCCAAATCTCCAGATTCGTAAGTTCAGTTACCAATTTTGGTATCAGTGTTTTGTGTCTGCATATGCTTTTTCTCTTAGAGGACATGGGGAGAATGTAGCTTAGTTTTCTTTATTTCTTCCTTGAAAGTTATAGTTCTCCAGTCTGGTTTTGAACATTCATTTCAGTGAAACTCTGATGGCTTCTCTCTCTACTGCCCCCTTTTCCAGCCTTCTCACTGAAGAGTTGGGAAGGGAAATCCATTTTTCAGGCTTGCACATAGATTACCCTGATCCTGACTTGGAATGTACTGCAGCAGCTGCTCTCTGAGTCTAACAGGGGGTGGGGGGGAACATGGGGAAAATGCCTTTTTAAGAGATCTTGCAGTCTGTCCTGGTTATTTTACGTCAAGATTAGAATTCAGATGTAGTTCTAACAACTAAAACTTTGTATTTGGGCACCACTTAACTAAAGCTAAGGTACTTTATTTCTGAAGATAATAGGTGTTTGTTTTGGTTTTTTTCCCCTCTGGTTTCTTGTGAACAGCAATCGAGTAACTGGGATCTATGAACTGAGTTTATGCAAAATGGCAGACACAGGAAGTCCAGGTAAGCAGTGACTGGGTGTTCAAGTGATAAAGATGCTGTAAACTGAAATATTGCGGAAAATATCATAGACAGAACAGAGTAAACACTTCTGTCCTGATAGGAAGGGGTTCCTGTGTTTTATAGCAGCAGTGGAATATTGCTCTTCCATAAAAAAAAACTTACACAAGCTTTTAGTTTCTGTTTACTATTGGGAAATCAAGGATTCACTGAAAACTTTACATTTTCTGACATGGGTATGTCAGGGAACTGGGCTTGTACCCAAATCATAGACTTAGGGGACATAATACGTGGCTCATAACTAACACAGTTGAGACTTGGTTTTGCAGCAATGGAGTTTTCTCCTTTGTCTTTTAAAGATATTGCTGATACCTGATGCAAGCTCAGTAACTTGGAAGGAATGTAGTTCATGTAGTATCAGTGTATTTTTCCTCTAAGCCCTAGAAATTGAAGTTTTTCTGTTCAATTAGACTGAGCAGGAGCTTGCATTAGATCAGGGTCAATGGTAAACACCTGAATGAATTAAGGAAGCTGGATTAAACCAAAACTCTTTGGGATGTGTGATGGCTATTAATGAAATGGTTGCCTTGTATATCTCCAGCCAAACAGCAGAAGTGTTGGTTCTTTACAGATTGCTAATTGGTGTTTTTAGTGGCATCCCTCTGGCTATGCCTTTAACATGTCTTACGTTGTTTTTTACTGCTCAGGAATGCAGAGGAGGAGGAGGAAAGTCCTAGATACATCTGTGGCTTATGTGCGAGGAGAAGAGAACCTGGCTGGTTGGAGGCCCAGGGGTGACAGCCTCATTCTAGAGCATCAGTGGGAATTGGAGAAGCTAGAGCTGCTGCATGAGGTGAGTAAAGAGATAGGGGAAGTGAAAGAAAAAGCACGACTGTACCTTTGAGTTGGCCTTTAGTCTACCCACTGTGAGACCTTCTGAGCTGAATGGGTTCCCAAATGGGAGTTTGTTCTCAAAGTCAAGATCTAAATAAGTTCTCCAACAGAGAAGACACAAAGCGTGTGGCTGGCTGCTGAGTAGGATCTTCAGCTCAGAATTTCAGTGTCTTCAACAAACACAGATTCAACTTCTAATGCCATTGTAAACTCCCCTCCCCAGGGTAGATGTTTACTGGTATGAATCTTAAAAAGAATGCATAATAATTCAGTGACTGTAAAACAAGCAACGTCCTGGAGCAGATGATACTGATTTCTTTTCTTACTAGGTGGAAAAAACCCGACATTTCCTTCTGCTTCGTGAAAAGCTTGGTGACAGCATCCCCAAGTCCCTGAGTGACTCACTGTCTCCCAGTCTGAGCAGTGGAACCCTCAGTACCTCCACCAGCATTTCCTCACAGATTTCAACTACAACATTTGAGAGTGCTGTGACGCCCAGTGAGAGCAGTGGCTATGACTCAGCAGACATAGAGAGCCTGGTGGATCGGGAGAAGGAGCTGGCCACTAAGGTATAACATGAGAAAAGCAGCATGGGTCTAAATTGAAGTGCTAAAGATGATTGAAGATTAGTGACGAGCTGCTTAGATAGCATGGTGAATGTCCAGTATTGTGTGAGTTTTATTTTAGTATGCTCTGTATTGAAATAATCCATTCTCACCAGTGGGTGCTGGTGTCTAGGTTTGTGCTATGGCTGTACCTCATTCCCCTTCATTAGTAGTTCTCTAAATGAAACTGTCTCATTTTATCAAGGGAAGTGATTATTCTCCTTTTCTGGGATTTTTCACAGCAGTTTAGAATTTGTTTCTTTTTTCACGAGCTACCAAGCGTGTCTTGGCAAATAGCCTCTTGTGTTCAGATTTCTCTGAAAATCTAGGTTTAAAATTCTCTTCTGTGTTTTGTTTGTTTGTTTGTTTGTTTTTCTCCTGCCTTAGTGTCTGCAGCTGCTTACTCACACTTTCAATCGGGAGTTTAACCAGGTGTACAACAGCATCAGTGATTGTAAGGTAAGTGTTTCATGCAATACAATAACTGTATTTATAATACAATAGCAATATGTTTGTGGTTTGTGGAATCTGTTGATACTCTGAAGAGACAAAACACTTTCATTTAAATTTTCTTTATTTTCAGTCTACTGGAAACATTTGGCTATTTGGCATCAGGTTCCAAAGACTACTGCGGGAATTGGAAGTGATGTGAACTTGGACTGTAGTATGGCTTCTAGTTTATTAGCAGACTGGAAGTGCTCTTACTATCTTTCCCTGTGTACACTTGCCCTGTGTAAAAGGATAAACAGGCTCTTTTAAAAATTCTGACTGTAGGTACAGGGAACACCAAGTTGCAAACTGAATAGTTTGATGTTCTGTTGAGGAAGTCAGGGTGTGAATAATCCAAAGTGTAGGACGTTAGTAACGAGCTGTGTCTGTAGAGGTGCACATTGTATTTTCAACCCCAGATGGGTTGATGATGCTTGTGTGCAAAAATTTGTCTACTGAGTAGGGAAACGGCTGATAGAAATACCTTTCTATTGTCTGAGCCTGCGGCATGCCGTGTCCTAGCCAGGACTGAACACTAACTACAAAAACCCCTCCTTGTAATGATTTGCCTGTGTTTGTCCTTGTAGTTGTCAGATATTTCTCCGATTGGGCGGGATCCATCCGTGTCAAGTTTCAGCAGTGCTACCCTCACACCTTCATCTACCTGCCCTTCTCTGGTGGACTCAAGATGCAATTCAATTGATCAGAAGTGCGTACAGGGCATTAATAGAAAAGCATGACTTCTCAGTGCTTCACAAATCTGTCTTTGCTACGTTTTCTGAGGGTTTTTTTCTCCCCCTTTCTTCCTTTTCCCTAGTTTCAGGTATTTCTCTGTACAGCCCCCTCGCCTTACCTTCTCCAATCACTGTGCACAATTATTTTCCCCCATTTTGTTCTTTTAAAGTGTTTTTTTTTTCCCTTTGTGCTGAAAGAACAGTCAAATGCTTGTCATTCCAAGTAACCAGTGTGTAGAGCCCACAAGCTTTTTCCAGAGTGCTGTTAAAAGACCTATTAACAGCAACCCAGCATAAACCAGTTGGGCCAGTAATCTCTGTTTGCCTTTCTGAGCTGTATCTGTGGAAGATATTTCTGATAAAATTGGGAATAACTATTTAGTGAAAGACACGTAGTTTGTAACTCCTCAGTTTAACATCCCTCAGAGGAGGAGTGCTGACTAAGTAGTACAATTTACATCAAACCCTAGAGAGACATATGTCTGTGTTTGGTGAAATGAGGGAGAAGTAGTGGGGAAACAACTTACCAGCAGTTATTTTAAGTTTTATTGCACAGATTTCAAGGGAATTGCTATTTGATACTGTATGAAAGGATGCCAATGTCATTCAAAAGTCTGGACTGGAGGATGGGACTTGTAATACAGGCTGTGCTGTAGGTGCTCTTTAATTTCCATTGTCACATTCAGTTGGTTGTTTGTGACTTAGTTTTCTTTCCCCGCTTTTTTTTTAAAGGACACCAGAAGCAAATTCTCGTGCCTCCAGTCCCTGTCACGAGGTGGAACAGTTCCAGATAATTCCTGCGGTAGAAACTTCCTATCTTGCCAGAGCTGGAAAGAATGAATTCCTAAACCTCGTTCCTGATATTGAGGAAATCAGACCAGGGTAAGTTTTTTACTGTCGTGTGATCATGGCTTCCTGAGAGCTGTCACAAGGGCTTTCTGAGATTTGTAGTTTCTTTCCCGCATTTGAGGCAGGTAACTTAAAAGGATGATAACAGAACTGCAGAGTCCTGTGTGATGGAGGCAGGATTGATGAAGGTTGTGTTGATACTTGATCTTTGCAGCATTCATTCCCTGCATCTACTTCATGAACAGGATTTCCAGTGACTTAAATTTAATGTCTGTTATCAAAACCATGGCTGAAGTTCACTGAAGTAGAGATCTTTGCGGGTCCTTCTTTCTGTGAGACTTTTGCATAGCTCTTGAAAACAAAATTCAGCTTGCTGTAGAACTTTTTGATAATAGGTGCAGAAAAAGCATATTAAAGACCAGGTGTCTTAAACAGTGTTTGCAGTTAATAGAGATATTCAGTAGGTGCCTCATTTAGGGGAAAATGTAATCCTGTTTATCTGTGGGTTTGTTTTGTTTTGTCTTTTTCCAGCTCTGTGGTCTCAAAGAAAGGATACCTCCACTTCAAGGAGCCACTCTCCAGCTCCTGGGCCAAGCACTTTGTGGTGGTTCGCCGTCCCTATGTTTTTATTTACAACAGTGACAAAGATCCTGTAGAAAGAGGAATCATAAACTTATCCACAGCTCAGGTGGAATACAGTGAGGATCAGCAGGCAATGGTAAAGGTCAGTCTGAGCGCTGTTGTTTATTCACCCATAGAGCAGGAACATTACAGGTAGTAGTGCATCTGTCCCATCCTGCATGTCATCTCTGGTCTGAGGAAAATGCATCTGTGTCTTGGAGAATGTCTGACATCTGATGATTCTGCCCACAAAGTTCCCAGTTTGTTCACTGTTTCTTATGTTTTAGACGCAGCTGTACAAGAGACTGAAACTGCTGTTAGGCACTGGCTTTGCTTTTGTGAGCATGTGTTGGTACCATCGCTCTGTGTCTTTGTTTTTTGTAGTTTTGTTTCTGTGGTGTTTTGGGGTTGTGTGTTCTGTTTGTTTGTTAAAACACCAGAAGAACACAGAAACATCCTGCAAGGACTTAAATTAACTTTACTGGTCCATCTCAGCAGCTCTTAAAGTCCACACTATAGTTAAAACTACATTTTGTAGAAGACGTCCCATTTGACTGACCAATAATATTGTGAAAATGACCAGTGAAACTTAAATGGAAGACCTTAGGTCTTGTGGATTTTAGGAATGTGACATAGCAAACTCTTCCTCAGAGAGGAAGTGTGCTGCAGGAGCTTAGACTTCAGGATTTTAAATTGTCCTTAATATTCCAGACACCCAACACATTTGGTGTATGCACGAAGCATCGTGGGGTCCTGCTCCAGGCCATCAATGACAAAGACATGAATGACTGGTTATATGCCTTCAATCCACTTCTTGCTGGCACAATACGGTAAGAGGCAGTTCTGGGCAGGCAGTTCTGGGCAGACAGTGCTGCAAAGCATAAAGGTGGTGAGATAGCATGTCACAGAATTTAATCTTGTTCTGAAGAATCTGACAAGATGGGTAAACTAAAGGAGGGAGGAGGGTGGGCAACAAAAAAAAACCCCCAAAAAATCAAACAAGCCCTATATTCCAGGAAATGCAGTGGTTGTTGCTTTGGCCTGTGACATTCTTAACAGATATATCCAGTTAGAACGTGTGTGGTGTGCTTCATGCAGTACCACATTTGGAAGCCTCAAAATGATTTCCTTGTATTACTGTTTTACAGATTTATAAAGCTTCTTGCTACCTCTGTGCGGACAGGCTGGACTGCCTTTTCATGCTCTTGATTGTGTGCCCAAGCAGAAATTCTCATTTCCTTCCCTTTTTTGAACTTCTCTAGCAGCCTTTTCTTTAACACAGGTCACAGACATCCCCTGCTTGCTGGAGAGATCTTACTATGCTACAGTAGCTCTTCCTTTCAGTAAAAAGAAAAATTAAAATCTAAGCTATTACTATACAGCATCAATTTCTCAACAGTGCAGTCCTTAAAAGATCCTGTCTTCCTTTAAAGGAGCACAGCTCAAGAGAGAAGTCTTTCTCATTACAGCCCTTGATACATTTGACTTTTTGAACATACGGAGAAAACTAGCATTTAAAGGATTCTTAAAAGGATTTAAAGGATTCTTAAAAGGATTTTTAAAAATGGTGGACAAACTGTGGGGAGGGAAGAAAAACAAACTTCCAGAATTCAACAAATATTTCTCTGCTTCTTTCTTGCACAGGTCAAAACTGGCTCGAAGACGCACGGGCCAGCTGAAGTACTGAGTCCATGTAATGTTCTCATCCGTTCGCCCTAACTCACCTTCTGATAGATAGTGTTACCTCTCATTTTCTCTTTGTGATTCTTGACAGTTTCTCTTGTATGTATCCTGTGGCTTAACATCCCCTACCTTCCCAACTCCTTCAGCACATTTTGTAGGTATTCTAACACTACCTTGTTTCTTTTCACTTGTACCAAGAATCGTACTAGTAGCATGTGGCAAAAAAAAAAAAAAAAAAAAAAAAAAAAAAAAGAAAAAATAGAGTGATTATGCACGACTCTAAAAAGAAAAAAAAAAAGTTATTTATTTTTTTTTTCTTGTAACAATTGTTTTCCCATTTCAACTGACCTTTTGGTGTCTGTCCCACTGTCCATTGTTGTCTGTCTAGACTGCTGCAGGTTTTTCATTCAATTTGTGACTTGGCAGTAGTCATTGGTTCCCTCAGGGCAAAGTTCTAATGCCAGGGAAAGATAAATTCTTCTATGTAGACATTACCCAGCCAGGAACTGCAATAGCTCCTCAGGCTTTCTGGATCCAGGCTCTAATTTAAACTCTGTTGAAAGCTGATATTGGACAAATTTATCTGGGCAGAGTGGATTTTGGACTTGGTGCAAGTTTTTGAGTTTCCAGGGTCCAACGAGCTAAGGCATGAGCTGGAAAAACCAAGAGGAGCTGGATAGAATAACCTGCCTTTAAACTCTTGCTGTGAGGTTTTAGGTGAACAGTGCTTGGCTTTAACCCTCCCAAAACATTAACGCTCACTCCTCTGCCTCTGAACTGAGGAGATGGAATTTGTGCTGATGTGAGGAAAAATAAAGCACATCGCTGAAATATTAGAAATAATCCCTGAAGTTTTAGATGCTCGGCCTCGTATTTGGCAGATTGAGAGCGTTAAGCAGAAACGGGTCAGTGTGGCTGTTCCCCAGAGCGCTTTCAGGAGATCACCACGGGAGGGCACCATCCCCTTTCTGCTTTTGGTTCTGACTTCCGAGTTCCTGTAGCAACAGTCGTCACCTCTCTTGGAAGAGATTGACGGGTTGTCACTGGTATGTTCGGGTAGATTGCTCTTGGGCGTCGTTCTGAAAGGCCTGCTTCGTGCATGCGTCCCTGATCTGCACATGGCGAGAGCATCCTCTGTCTACAAAATACTTTAGACACTTAGCACTGGCAGTATTCTCTAGGGAACAGCAGGACACTTTCACTTCCTTTTGGAATAACTGTTGAATGTCTCCTAATTTCCCTGCTACAGTTTTCATCAGCTAAAACCCCCTAGTTAGTTTTAACTTCAGAATTAATCCTTCCTGGAGGACGGATCAAGGGGACTCTGGTCCTGGTCAGTGGGGTGTAATAATTGGCTTCTTGGAGATCAGCTGCATGGTGTTAGTTCTTGACCTACAATGTAAGTTCTCCTTGTGGCCAAAATTTTGGTCCTTGCCCTGAGAAAGGAAAGCAGAATGAATTTCCTTTTTGAGAAGTGAACTCATCTTTCATAGTTAGGTTTTCAGGGAGGTTGGGGAGGGGGGTTGTTTGGGTTTTTTTACTATGTTTCAGACTGCTGTGCTATACTTTCTTGACTTACCTTGGGCACTAATAGGGCTAGCTGTGATCCTGGGCGATGTACAGGAATTTCGTCCTGAGGTTCGAACCTCTCAAGGGAGAGGTAAAAGGGTTTTGTTCTACTATTACAGTAGGCACATCTAGGCACACTCCAGCTCAAGAAGGTCATTTTGATTCAGCTCACTCATCAGCAGGCCATGCCATGCATTGGAAATTCTATGGCAGAAGTGTACGTGGGACTGGCATCAGCTGAGCAATTTTTTAGCTTTATGGGGTTTTCATTCTTCAGTAGAGTGCAATGCATAGTGAGACCTCCTAAAGGCATGGCTGGCAAAGGAGCAGGGAGGTGGAGTCTGACACTTGCTGGGACATATCTTCATTTATTTTGAGATAGTACTCAAGCTAAGTCATGTGCTCATGCTATCTCCTATGGTCCTCAGATTTATTTCAGAACTGGAAGCCAGAGTGATGGAGCATCCTGGGGACCCAGGAGCATAATAGGGATGTTGTTTGTGTTTTGTTTTGTTTTGTTTTTTTCCATTCTGTTTTTGTCTTGTTTAATTGTGTGTGACTCTTAATACAGTGACGATATTCCTTTGTTACGCAATGGATGATAGTGCACTTCCAGTGTGTGGAGAAGTAAGACTGCTAGTGCTGCAAGAGGGCTCCTCAGGCTGGAGCTAAGCTGATCTGAAGAATTAGGTTAATTTAAGCACTAAGTTGTTGCTGCCATCACCACTGTTTATAATGAAAGTGGAACCGGTTTGAGGAGGCGTAGTGATTGAGGTGGTGATATTTTGTGACACACTGCGAGCATTTTAATTTTTATCTTTTCTTTTTTTAACTAGAAGAAAACTAGTTTGCTAAGTCTTTGCTTTGGATAAGCCAGAAAATGAACTAAGGGGTTATAGGCATTGCTTAGAAACATGATTAAGGGATCTTCCTTTAAAAGCAGGAAGAGACAGATGCTTATTTTATGCAGAGCTGGAAGTGTTACAGCTGTGTTACGTAAATGTTAACTCTTCTGAAGACTCCAAGCAGCTTCTGATGACTTGATGTCTATGTGGATAACATCATCAGAAGAGCAAAATTCTATTTTTAAGCATCGGTACCTCTTAAAGCTGCATAATCTGTGACAAAATAGATTCTTTATGTGTGGAGTTCAAATGGGCATTACTGTTTTCAGACGTACAGTTACAGTTTTTCACCAGTTACTGAAGCCTACTTTGAGACATGTTTCCCTACCTGAAACTGGACTGAAATCACTTCAGATTTTCTTTAAAAGGATAACTAAGCAAAAAAAAAAAAAAAAAAAAAAAAAAAAAAAAAGTGGATTTCCATTCCCTTTAAAGCTTTTTCTATGTAGCCCAACATGTCAGAAATTTCTATTTAGAAACAGACCAAGAAGGGAAAAGTGTGCTAAGCTGCCTTCTCTTGACATTTAAAAACCCACGCTTGGTTACCTGCTGCATGTATGTGAAGTCCTGGAGTCAGACAGCTCTTGGGACTCGGCCACTGGAGACGAGGCATCATGCTGTGGGCCTGCCAGCCCATCGAGCATAAGCACTGGTAGTAAACTTGATAGGCATTTCTTGGAGAGAATGAGTGTGAAACTGTGCTGTAGTTTGGGGTTTTTATGTTCCGCACTTAAAGGAAGGAGAAAATTATCTTTTTTGTCTATTGAAAACCACGTTGTTGGATATTTTGAAACTAAACTAAACCTCCTATACTGTATTTTAGAAATGCACTTTAAGTACCTTTTTAAAGAAGATTCCTATATTCTGGGATGCAGAAGGGAAGGGAAAATTAATTCCGGACCACTGAGAAAAGGGTTTTTTTGGTCAGTGTCTAATAGTCCTTATTACTGATTAGCAAGGTATTTCAAAGCAAAGACTTTACTTTTTGCTGCTTGTTATCTAATTTACAGGGATTTCATTTTATGTAACGTATATTTATACATCTGTAATTAATTGCACATTAGATAAGAAAGAGGATTAACCTTGGTGTAACACCCACTGGTACTATACAATCAACTAATACTGCCTATGCATATGCATCTTTCTGGTACTCTTGCAGAGCCTTAGTCTGTGTTAGTTTTATACTGTGGTGGGTGTTTTTGTTGAAGATGCAGCCGTTGACCTGCTGCTCAAAGGAAGGATATAATGCTGCTCTGGAACGGTTTGCTGAATGTACTTTAAAATGGGTCTCTAACATGTGTGCGTTGCATCTCTCCATTGTGGTTAATAACCCCAATATGTGGTCTGAACTGTACTGTATGTAGCAGGAATGTATTAATTTTGTGCTTCCTTGTTTAAAAACATCAGCTGTTCAAGAAGGGGATTGACTTTTTTTGTTCAGAAGGCCATTTATGCACTCTAAAGTATTTGAAATCAAAACTAGTCCAACACCTAACCAGATGGTTGTGTCCAATGTTATCTGGAACAGTTTTTAAATCAACAGGATTAGCTGTGCATTCAGAAAACTGAGGGTATGGAGGTCATAAGTCTTCAATTCTTAATGTTGCCAAGTTAATGGCCTGATCCTGAGCAGTCCTGAACTACTTCTTGCTTGCCTTGAAACCAGGGACTAGAAGCAGAGGGAGTCTTGAATGATCAGCACTTCCCAGGATCAGTTCTTAATTTTCCACTCTGCTTGTTCATACTTCATGTGCAGTTGATTAAGGTTCTTGAATTTGGACATGAGACATTCTGTTGCACTGAAATACATATTTCTTTTTAAATGCGGTCCCCATTTCCCTGTTTAATCTCTCTGTACACAAGGTATACAAGGTATATGCTGTGTAAGTGGCCTTCTTGAACAAATCTCTGCAAACTGATTTCATCCCAGCGAAGGAGTGTATCAGCAACACTGTACATTAATTTCAGGTTTTCATTTTCTTATTTTATTTTGTAAATATATCTGATATTTGGAGCTTGAGTATACAAAATGTAAATATAGTTCATGTATTTGTACTAATTCTGATCCATTTGCTGTATAGCCTTAGGTGTGCAATGCAGATATCTAACTGTGTATGGTAACCTTGCACCACTGAATTGTTAGTGAACGAGGTGAAACAATAAAGGTACAACCAGTGCATTAGCAGATACAATGTGTGTTCCTTTTATTATGATTTAATGACTGGTATCTTAACACTGATTACTTGTTTTCAAAACCTGTTCTGAAGAAGCTTATGCTTTTGTGAAAAGAAATGTGTCTTGGCAGTTCTTGAGAAGGACGAGAGGCCCTTCTTACATTTCCTCATCCTTCTCCCTTTGATAGGTTACACGGCATTTCTAAGTAGTTTTTGGATGCTTTCGAAAGATTCTTGTGCTTGAAAGATAAAAGAAGGTTGTCATGGTGCAACCAATACAGAATTTGCTTATCCGGGGGTGACATTAAAAATGACAGGAAGCATGTGAAATCAAACCACCAACACGTAACAGTAGAGGGCACCACCTCTGTGGGCAAAGATGTGTCAGGGAATCTCTCAGAATCGTTCTCATCTTGGTCTGAAAGTGGAAAGTTCTTTGTAGTCGTGGTGAGGAGACTGGACAGGACATTCCCAAAGCATTTAAGTCTCACAAAAATGGGCTACCACTTGCTGTCAAACACCTCTTGTAACTGTCAAACAGCTGCATGATGGCAAAATACTTCTATCAGGCTGCTGGCTAGATCTGTTCTTTATCAGAAAAGCTATCATGGATGTTTTGCTGCCGTTGCCAATTCTTTATTTTTTTTTCCAATTGTGCGCTAGAGTAGCCTGTTAGCTTTCTCCGGTTGCCTCTCTGACAGCGTATTCCACAGCGCAGAGAAGCTGCTGTTTTACTGCTTTCAGATTCATTCACTCACTGCTGTGAAATAAGGTGAACAAAAAAGTCGATGGGTCAGTTTGCTGCCAGTCTCCAGGTTTCGAATGTGCCTTTAACAGAAGGTAAACATGCTTGAAACGTAGGTTTGTCTTGGTGATGCATCCGACTGTGGTGGATCAAAGGTACGCAACCAGCTTTCTTCTCTTAAACGTGATTTTAATCTCAGTGCTGACACCAGGGCAGGTTTCGTTTGTTTGCCCAAATTCTAGGGCACCCCAAAGACAAGCTGCCAGCTGTGATACCCGAGGTGCGCTGCTGCAGCCGAGGTGTTTCCTCCGCTGCGCCGCAGGCGGCGAGTCCTCTGTAATCAGTGCAGAGAGAGGAGACACCAGCCAGCGGTGCCCGCCGGCCGCCGTTCCCGTGTCCCCGGGGCACGTGTGGGGCTCCCCGCCTGCTGGAGGCTGAGCCTGTGCCCCCTTGGGGCTGCTCTGCCTTTGGAGGGGGGACAGCCCTGGCCTGGGCCACCGTCCCGGTGCTCGGGGCCCCTCACCCAGCAGCGGTGTCTGTCCCTTTAAGGG